CATTCATTTGCAAACATCACAATCATGCCAGTCGGTACTTCATGTAAGTATTTTTATTCATAAATTTCACGCTCCTGGAGGGGAGGTGGCTGTGTCCTTTCCAAGAGCTTATTACCATAAACTATTATTTGTCTTCCGATCAGGCAGAATTTATAATATTAATAATTAAATAATAGACATGGATTCATATTGCCTATAAAATTTTCCATACATCGTCCGATTCTGCGAAGAATTTAGCTATCAATTACTGTATAGGAAATACTTTACCATCTAAACTATTTTCCTTCTCCTCCTATGAGCCCCATACCCAGTGCAAACGCCCTCCCCCCCGTCAGTGAAAAATCCATCACAATCATGACCATCAAATCATTCCATAGAAAAATCCACCCGTGTTATAGTTCATACGCGCATTTAAGTCCATATGATTAATAGTGAGTTGTTCACAGATCACTTCAGTAGTTCACAGATTCCATCCAAATTCCGGAAAATAACATACTATTGAAAATTTTGTTTTACGTTCAGAATAATTACAGCCAAATTCTTGCATATCTTGGAAAAGTTTGGTGTTCGTTGATATTTAATGATAAATTTTTTTATTGATATTTTTGCATTGATCTGAAAGATCTTGTTAGGAAGATTGTTTTACTCTTGAACACAATACATAGAAACACATATATATAAGGATTTCCGGTTGTATTTCATAGTTGATACATCTTGACTTACAATTCACTGACTGACAACGTCAATCAAAACATGAACGACTTATTATATAGAATGTAAACGGTCCATATAAAACATCCGTTTCCCAAAAATTAATGCCATTTCCAATCTTCCTCCAAGAATGAACAAACATTAAGTTCTTATTAATTGTATTCATACAAATTCTATTAGTTTACATCAAAGTTTCGAATACTTGGCTGTCATTTGAAAAATTGTTTTGATTTAGTCAAATTTTATATTACATACGTATGATCTTATTTTAATTACAAAAAATTTCTATGAGAATATCACGTGTACGCTGCTTGAAATTTTGTGCAAGTTATTTCAAAATAGGTGGCAGAAGTCTCTTTTGGAATACTTGAATTTCTTTTTGAAATTCTTCACTAAATTAGAGAGCGAGGGAACTCTCTCGTTTAGTTAGAATATTGTAAAAATCTTTTATGTGCATGTTTTGTGTTTTTGTGCATGTTTATGATCATCTGCAAACACCGAAGAATGGAAGTCGAAAATTTTGTCTTCTCGAAACATGCCTTCTTTAAATTTTAATATCTTCTCCAAAATAAGTAATAAATATTGGTTTAACTTACTGCAGAAGCGTTGCTTGACAATGACAGGTTACGGCAATGTGGTTCTGAAAGAAATTGAAGCAAAGAAGATTTGATGAACGATACAAACAAATACATGCTTACATCTCTGTTCTGCTATTCTTGATCTTATCGACCTCTGCATCTGAAAAATACTGAGGAAAAAGTTGCAGTATGATGAAGCAAACAAGCAAACAACTGACAAACAAACACATACCTCAGTCTCAATCTTCATCGTTCAGTGCCATGAATAACTGTAAGAATAATGTTAAAATACAATCATGACGAACTGTAGGAGCATATAAATTTTCAAAAACCAGTGTTTGCAGACGATCTGTCGAAATTTCTATCAAAACTGGTACTTTACCATGATTTCCAGAAAACAGCTGTAAACTGCCAACATTTACAGGAAAGGTTTACTTTTATGGCACAAAAAGTTACTGTCAGATTTTTCAAACGAAGTCAATCATCTCCATTGAACATAATGGACAGACGAGCATTCATGACGAGCCCTCAAGTTGGATTCAAAATTTGGAAACAGTTTCCTCTCCGAGGAATTATCTTTATGATTGCAATAGTTCTATACAATCATACAAAATAGCTATTTTGGCTAAATCATTTACCAAACATTAGAACATCACCGGAAGTTAAATTTTTTGCTTTGTAGACACTGTTATAACATCCCTCAATATTATAACAGTGCAATCATAGGCACAAATAAACCATTAAATATTCAAAGTAGACGGCTAGTCTGACTGGCTCGTGATAATCATTTTGCATAGATGTTGAGTTTAAAGATTTTGCAATACTCTGCCAGCGTATTGCAATTTCTCTTTCAACCATGATGATTGATTTAATGTAAATTAGATTTTGTTTTAATTTTACACAAGATATGAGCGCGAAGCACTCTTATATTAACATGCTCTAAAGCATGTTAACTGATTTGTGCTAACATCTACAAAATTACTCCATGGTATATAGAAGCGCCAGTCAGTTGTTGCACAAGTACAACACATCTCTTTACTACCAAATCCCCCAGTTATTACCAAATCAAGCACGTGTCAGAACTAGGCAATAAGCAAACATAAGCTAGCTCTCTGTTGGTCGGTCGAATTATTGATATGGACAATGAAGAAGGATGTTTTGGGTCGAAGGATGATCTGTTTCTTCCGTTAGCAACATCTTGAAGTCAACTTTGTTGTCTAGAAATATAGAATACGAGAGAAATGAATTGATTTTTTCAGTATCGGAAATCATCGCACCATGAACTTATTATGTTCGTTAATAAATCACTAATCACTTTGGTTACTTCTTAGTACTTTAACATGGCTCTCTGATCAAATAATTTAGTATGTTCAGCATCATAAATTATTGTGACACCCTAGCTCTTGCGTTCACTTCATTGCCATCTTTTCTTATTATCGTCAGTGATTCTTAACCGTGTACACTTTTAAATTATTTGTTTTAAAATTGAGTTTCTTAGCCTGTGGCTGTCATAGAAAAATGATTTTCTTCTTTTCAACTTCCAATGGCAAAGTTACACAACGAGAAGGTGCTTTTGGTGCTGTCTTTGGTCATACTAGTCTTAGCACAAGCAAAAGTGATTATTAATTGTCAAACAAGACAGAATAAATGAAGGATTAGAATCAACATGAGCATAAACAAAACAATATTCAAAAGAATTTCCGTTTTCCTGGTCTTTTAGGTCTCGCGAGAAAACAAAATTGAATGCATGGTACACACGAATAGAATAAGCATAAACGATAAAACTTTATTTCTTTTTCTCTTCAGAGTTTACACAGAAAGACATGGAAATCTTCTTTCGTTTTTCTCTTGTTCTTTTTGTGTTCTTCTTTCAGCTAATGCCTAACACATTTCCTTAAGCCTGTGTAATGGTGTAACTTCGCTCTTTTGAGTGGGTGGGAGGAACTTTAGGAATAAATTTGCCCATAAAAGGCGTGGTGTTATTTTTTATGTTGTTTCGTAAGATGAAAGAAGTATAAAATATTGAAAAGAAGAATATGATTTTTGATGTTTTTTTCTGTAAACCCTCGAGAGAGTCATAAGCACGCTCGTTGCTTATGCTTGTGATTACGTAGATGTTAATGTTCCAACTTTTTGTATTGTTTTTCTTTAACACTTTATTGACACTTGACACAACATTCAAAATAGATATATTCTATTCAAACAGTTCATGAAAAAATTATTGCTTTGTTCCGACAGTTGGATTGGCTGGATTTGAACAGGACGTTCTATACGAGAAGGGATTACGTTGGTTTTATTCAGTTATTTTGGGGATGATTGACGTATTATCAGTGTACCGTATGTCAAGAAGCATCCTATGGTGATACAGGTGAGCCATCACCCTCAGATTAAGCTCTAGGATATGTTTGCTACAATGACGGAATCGTTGTAACAAAGTCTTCTGTTCTTACTTCATATGCTTCATCTTGTTTTATACAGTTTTCCAAAATGACTCAACTGTAAATATTGTAAAACAAGCACGATTAAAAGCGTGTATATAAATTTGTAAAAATTTAAGAATTGCCCAAGATTTGTCCAAACAATTAATTTTTTGAGAAATTTCCAGAAATTTCCTTCAAATAGGCCGTTCTTTTCTGAGAAATTTCCTTAGAAATAAGACCACATTTGACCATCGTTATCATGTTCACTACTTCATGTAAAAGTTATATACCGTTTTCCAAAACAACATAATTTTTAATTTTAAACCTCACAAGCATTCGTTCTCCGCAAGAATATTTCTCTCCACATATCTGTTGTAAAAGAGTGAAAGACAAATAATATTTTAAAGAACATATAAAGTTTTTTTTGAAAGCTGAAACAAGGTAATAGATATATATGTTATTGTTATGCCTGAGTCTGACTTTGACTTTCATAGCGGGAAATTGAAACGATATTTATTTTTTATTTCTACATAGCAAAGATATTTAAGTTTTTTTTCCTACACAGCCAATATTGTGAATAATCTTTTGTATAACATCTCTAACTAAAGCAATATCGTTAAAATGGATAAAGTTCAAGAACTTTCTGAAGCACTGCCTTTACCAAGTCAGCCATTCTTAAACGTCGAAGTAAATGAATGCAAAGAAAGGTTAGTTCATAAAATGAACAAAGGACTGTATGCAGAAGGATATTGAATTGCATTTCATGTAATAATCTAGTTGAGTGAGTCTGTGTTGGTGAAACCATGCTACAGGTGAAACAAGGTAATGAACAAATCATGTTTTTGTTTTGTAAAGAAACTTGAATAATTTTAATATGTTACTAGATTGACGTCACTGGTCATATGTTGTGCTTCAACAGACTCACTTCTTCAAATACCACTGTGCTTTCAAAACGTGAACAAAACCATTTATTCAATTTGATAATAAGCATTAACATCTTAATAGTATTTACCACTTTATTTTAGCACTATCCCAGAGTATAGAATTATAAAGCTTGTCAAAGACTTTCTTATCAACATGAAAACAATTCATGGCGACTCATGTTTCATAAATTTGTTGATCCTTTTTAATGGAACATGTCAAGAGCATAACTATTGTGTATGACACAGATAATTTTTCAACATATGGCAAGGTTATTGACCCTATGATCAGACAATATTTACTTTCGTGTGTGAGAGTAGTTGTTCACACCCCTGGTATGTCACACATCCTTTTTGTTGAACCCCCACGGAAAGGAAAATGCAAGAACTCTTAGAGGAGTGACTTAGTTTGATAATGAAGATTTACATGAAGTACATATTTCTGTCAAACCTTCATAATTCTTTTAACAGATAATTGATTTGAAAAAAGTTATGCTAAAGTATCATGTCTATCAACTTCATGATGGGGGGCATGCATATGAAGAACTTGAGGATGATATATCTGCTCCAGACAACTGGCTTTTGCCTACAGGTGGGTAAATTTTGCCTGCAGGTGGTCAACTCACTTCAGTCCCAGGTCTTTTCGCTTTCACGAGTTATAAGTATTAGCAACAAATACAATTAATTCATCATTTTTAGAGGATTTTCAGGGCTTGTGGGAAAGCTTGCTCTTTGACTCGGATGTGAAAAATCAGGTTGTTCTTCATAATGAACATTTAATGATTTCTCTCGTGAGCGAAGTTTAAATTGTAGCTTGTTAAGGACGTCTTTAGCGCCGAAATAAGTTAACGTTTAAACAGTTAGCTGTCAAAACGTCAAATAGATTTTTTAAGGATTTTCCTAATTTCTCCTATTTTCCAATGTACATTATGTACTCGGGAGTTACTGATCAACGGAGTTACTGATCAACGGAGTTACTGATCTAGACTTATTAATCTCTAATATTTTCAAAAGGTTTACGCAAGCGATGACATTGTGCACCGTAGTGGTGACAAAGCTTACTTAGTAAACATTAAAAATACACATCTCAGCAATTCTAGCGAGTTATATCTATTAAAAAATGTTAAAAATTTTGTTGTTCTAATTTATTTACGAAAGTATATGTCGTGCCATGACTATGATATTTCATGTATCTCATTTTTATCTTATTTTTTTAGTTGCTAAAATATGCGGCAACGACACTTCTCTTCTCCGACAGGTTTGTCGTGTGAAATGAAACTATTGAACTGAAGACTTTTTAGAGAAGCCAAATTGCAAAATCGTTCGTTTTTCCATCTTTTTAAAATCACTCCCAAACAATGACGTTTCAAAGTATATATTAGTCACGTGTTTGAATCATATTTTAGAGGCGTGGATTTCAACATCATCTCGTGAAATAAAGTTATCTTATTGCATGGTAAGTTAGTTTCCTTGGTAACCAGACGTGAGTCCTTGCGTCATCGTCCGTCACGTGTATCTTTTTACGAATCAAATTAGATTTTATTTTTGCGTGTGTTGACTTTGTAACAACTCTCATCTTAACGGAGTAAATCTCTTATCACTCATAACATTCAAGATTGAAAAATCACATATCAAAGTATTGATAAGAATAAGTTAGCTACAATCAGATAGAATGAAACGCGAGACGTGATGGTGTTTTAACGAGCCAACTATTAAATGACGTCAAGGCTACCATGTTTGTGTACCGCTGTGACGTCACTCGAACAAACAACGAAGCCAATCAAACACCAGCATTTACCACTCATAGTACATCATGTTTGTCTTCACGTGATCTACTGCAAATATCCAGAAGAATAAGTTGAGCTTTTCTTTAAAACTTTCTGAAGCCAACCAGTACTGGTGAAACATCCTTATGTAAGGCGCTTTGCTCCAAAATTATCCATACCACTTTCTAAAGGTAAAACACTACATTTTATTTTGATGTTACGTAAATCGCAATCCATTACTATCCATGTGTGTGCAACTAATATTGCCACGTAATTTTATTGTTATGTCGTGAATTATAAATACAAAGTATAATCCGAAAAAGGACATGTTGTAAACTCAACATCAAATTTAGAAAACAAGACGATTAAAAATGTAAATATTACACTTTCAATTGTTTTGCTTTGTAACTTTTATTTAAGTTTACGAGATGTTCTAAAGATAGCAAATACCATAGTAAATGGTAAAAGTAATATAATAAGTTGATAGTTCTTACAAGAACTGTTGTAAGTAAAGAGCACTAACCCAATAGCTCTAAATTAAACGACACGATGCATTTCGGCAGACTACTCCTCAGGTGTCAACGTCTGCTGAATGAAAATTTACAATCTACCGATATTTATAATGCCAAGACAACAGTCTTTATCAACTTATTATATTACATTTACCATTCACTATGGTATTTGCTATCTTTAAAACTATGTATTATTTCTTTCTCTACAATGTTGTCGCTTTTACAGGAGTAAAGCACGAAAATATTTATATGACATGAACAAACTTGTGATGACAACTTTGTTCAGTCAAATACTTATTATCTATCAATTACGTATTTACAGAAGTCTTGATTTGAACTACATTTATGCGTTTATTTGCTAAACCTAGTCTTCCCCAATGTTGTTTCTTCTTATTTCAGACATCCTAATGTAATTATATTGACAACATCGAACATAACTAGAGCCATAGACGTTGCGTTCGTGGACAGGTTGAAAAATATGTTTGTGACTCGAAAGTTTTTTTAATTCACTTTCTCATCTAACTTCGCTATTTGTTCGCCCACAGAGCCGACATCAAACAGTATATTGGTCCGCCATCAGCCAAAGCTATTTACAAAATTTACCATTCTTGCATCAAGGAACTTGTAAGGGTAGGGTATTCAATGTTTTTACCACAGGATAAGAAAAAATATAGTTGAAACAGCACTATTTGTTTGTATGTAACTTATGTCTTCTTGTGCACGTGATCAACGAAATGGCTGCCGGTCAATTATGTTTTCTGGCCAAAAGGAACGCCGAAATGGCTTACCGCAACCTGTCATCATATACAATATAAAACAACAATTTGCCTCGTGAAGTATATCCCCTCTTCTCAGTACTTTGTACCTTTACGTCTACTGCTTTATTTCCATACCACAATATAGTCGTTTGTGCAAGTTATACAAACATGTTGCTTAAATAGAGAGGTGTGCAGTTATATAGAAATTGATTGCAAACGATTGCATTGTAGATAATTTTTTAATAATCAAAATTAATGTTCACCGTTTCATCACAGACCAGTATCATATCACCAGCCACTCAAATTTTGGATTTAAGGTACAACTGAAAAAATACACGAAATTTTATTTTGACGAAAATTGACGGTGTTTTTTCTCTTCTTATATTTGTCCTTAATTGTGTATGTAGAGCTCTGGAAATTTAACGGTTTGTTAGAAATTTTTTTGTTCACTTCTATGTTGATGACATGGTTTTAATTTCCGATGTACAACTTTTTCTCCTATTTTCCATTGTAGCTTTGTCGACAACGATTTAACACACTGTAGTCTTGAATTAAAGAAGATAGCCGAGTAAGTGAAGTAGATGTTTGTAGATGTAGATCGTCGAGGTTAGTGGAGTCCTGCGAAGGACTGTTGATGTTGAGGTTGACTGACTTCTCAACAACCTTAGCGGTAGTCATCTTTAGAGTCAGCATCAACAACAACAGTTCTTTTCAGGACTTTACTAACCTGGACGATCTACATCTACAAACATGTAACGATCTCCATGTTCAAACCTTTCACTTTAAAGTAAAGTGATGTCACAGAGTAAAATAAACATTTCTTGTCTTCGTTTATGGTAAATATTATGTCACCCAGTCTTCATGTTTTCAAGTTAGTATTCTTCTCGTTTTACAAAGAAAACGAAACTACGCCCGGGATTTTCAGAAGTTGTCTGAACCTTGGCAGTATGTTCTAGTTTCTTTTATGAGAAGAATTCTTGTAAAGAAAAAGACAAATTTTGAAAGGAAAAACCCGTTTTCGGTCCATGCTTCCCGATACCTTCTTAAGCGTAAGGCACTAAAACGCGGCATGTTAACGTTTCGGTAGCAGATTTCGGCCCTCCACGCTATCCTACTTGGGAAATGCCAATAGCAAGCTTCCGCCCATCAGACCCTGAGATCACCTGCGATAGGCTTTGCTCAGGATACGCAGGAGAGTGCGGTCGCCACCGAAGTGAGGGCCTAAGCCACTGCATACTATATCGCACCCAGCTTCCACTGCTAGTTGACATCTACTATATGAAGTTTTAGCTTTATATATATATACCAAAATTTAAAGGCGTACGAAAGTTGTGGGATGATTGTTATCGTTACAGCGCATGCCCAGATGATTTCTTTGATAATTTGCGACTAAGTGAGTTAAATGACACAAATGTAGTGCAAGTACATATAGTTGGTCGTTGTCATGACTATGAACAATTACTCGAGTGGACTGCGCATGCTCGAGCGCATGCGCAGACGATTTCTCTATTAAATTGTTACTAAGCATGCTATTTACTTCAAAATTGGTGCTAGTAGATGCAGTTGGTCGTTGCCATGACCATGAACTCGGGTAGCTGGTCAAATTGACTGCGCATGCTCAGTGAGACTGCGCATGCGCAGATGATTTGTCTTAAAACGTGTGACTGAGCGAGCTAATTACTCCAAAATCGGTACTAGTACATCCAGTTGGTCGTTACCATGAGCTTGGAGAGTTTGTGGAGTTGACAACGCATGCTCAGATTCTCAATTAATTTGTGACAGAGCGAGCTCTGAACTTGGTGCTTGTAGATGCGCTGAGCAGGCTTTCCATTATATATTTTTGTCATGCTCTTTGTCTACTTAAGCTTGTTTTTACAAATGCATGTGAAACTCGTCAACACTTTGTTACGGCTCTCGTAATATCCGTGACAAGGTTAAAAATTTTTTTATTTTTCTCTACAACTTTATACCTGCATATTGCATGTCATATCCAAGCTTTCCTTAGATTTGACGGGAAATGGTTTTTATTCACTCTTACATCTTCTGCCTTTATAATTAGTCGATCTGTATTTCTAAACTAATACTTACAAATGCCCCAAGAGAATTTTGTTTTTATTGGCTCTCTTCTACAAATACAATACCATGTCCGACTATTTGATTGCACGAATTTTTTAATTTGATCACGTTTTTTTGACACGTGTGTTTACGATGGGAAAGATGGATTGCTTAAACGTACCTAGTTGTTTAGACTACTTGGATCCATAGTTATCCTGTAACGTAAACTCTTGTGAAACACCAATGAGCATACGTAGTGTGTCTTGTATAACCTCTATTCTTGTTCTCCACTTCATCATCTATCCATATTTGTTCTTGTTTAGTTCTCAGCTCAACACAACCCTTGTCTGAAGTTCCTAAAACCTTCATCTACCCAAGAAAGATCTCTGGTGGTAACATGTTAGGTATGGCTAGTGGTTGGTCATCGTCATTGAGCCTTGCGAAACCAGTTCAGTATACGTTAATTGTCCTGAAAACGTTGAGGAGGTTGCTAGTAAAGCGTCGCCTAAACCAGAAGTTAGTTTTCATGGTATGCTAACTGATTACGCAAACGTTGTTAGGAATAAGTTCACATAAAATGGTTATGGTCTCATTCCATCGTATTCTGAGAAGGTTTCATGTTCATCCTGAATCTTTCACCAATGTTACAAATACTTAGTTTTTTTTGCTTTTTGAAATTGTCGTTTTATGGCTATTATTTTAGAGCATAGACATTGAAAATCTTGTGGTAGTACAGGTATTTTCAACATTTTTTTGTTGAAAAATTCTCTAGTTTCAATTCTTCGAAATTTCTCATCTTAATTGTCACCTTTTCTTTAGAATCCTTTCGATACGAGAAATCGTCGGGATTTGAGGTACTTTATACGATATATTGAATTTAAGCGTTAATAACTCTCATCTGTTCATCGTAACTTTGCGATAATTCTATGGATAAATTATGTTTTTATATATAACAGATTATTGATGATCATACTTCACCTGAAGGTGTTCAGCAAGAACGACGTATGAAGTTACTGTCGTTAATTAATAATATAGCCCTTGATAAAGGGTTGGATGGTCGAAATTATTAATGTCATGGTTGTTTCAGACCAATTGGAATGAGTATGATCAATGAATTCTCGACTTGTTATTTGCTAATAACTCAAATATATTTTTATTTTCAAATTTCTTAGCCTAATAAATGTTATCTTTGTAGAAACTATTATAACAAAGTACATAATCCCTTTTTTCCGTGAAGCCCATGGATGCGTTCGTTCATGATGAAAGAGTCATATTGTATAAGGAGGCTCTCGTTCATCACGAGAGAGTTATGAGAAAAATACGTTGTAAAAGGTACTAAGTAAAAAACATATAAACATGCTTAGTGTTTGTTTAAGTTATTTGTTTGTACCAGGAAGGAAGGGCTTTAGAGGGTGTGAATTTCATTATGTCTGTGATGGACTCTGTGAGGGAACTGTGCTTTTCTAAATGAAATAAAATGGTGAATGGAGGGATGGTATTCAACTTTATGAACTTTTCTGCAGTGATGTTATTGTTATGTTAGTAAAACAGAAGTCAAGACCTTTGGGCCTTACCATTAAGACCGCCATACAATTTAAACTGTACTCTTTAAATGTATTTAGTGCTAACAACGGCATTAGACAAGGTGAAAATTTTCAAACTCTTTCTAGGTACTGAGAGCTCCACATAATTAAATATTGTCAAGTACAGAGTGATAAGGGTGGAAAACTCACCTTTCCATTTCCACGAACCAGCGTGCCCATAAACGCATATTTTTTTGCTCAGAAGACTACTGTTCGCTAAGGCTTCTGGTATTGATGACGATATTTCCTCTGGGGTTCAGTTTCCTCAGTGAAGCTTCATTCATCAATTTCAAGGTCTACGGCCTAAACACAACAAAAATATCAAGGTGAGGAAGACAGCTGGTCTTCATATGGTGAATGAGTGAGGAAAATCAGTAAAGTTTTCAAAATGTATGTTCAGAAGCAGTCTAGGGACAAACAGCTCACCTCAACCAATCGTGATATCAGCTGGTACACGATCACAAGTAGCTATGACAACAATATCCCCACAAACTAATTCTTTAGCAAGAAAGTTTACCAATGAACCATTCCTAAAGCTAAAAATACAGAGAATATTCGACAAAGAAAAGGCATCCAACATATATAAACTGCTGATAACAACAAAACATTGACATTCTTAAGTTAAGAGTCCATGCACATGGTAGACATATATTGTCCAATTACAATGCTTACAATTCCAGATGCAAGCAGCAGCAATATCATAAGCTCTTTGAACTAAAAATTTATACAAATTTCTTTAATTTATATACTTCGCTACAGTGACTACATCAGGAGTGATCTGACGTTGATTCTCGAGTCCTTTTATACTCCAGTCTGGTGTCATTAGAAGTGATTTGATGGTGAAACTTGAGTCCTTTTATACCCCAGTCTAGTGTCTTTACCATAATTAATCTGATGTTGAAACTTAAATTCTTATATGCTCCAGTCTAGTGTCCTCATCATAAGTGATCTGTTGTTGACACACGAGTACTTATACACTCCAGTCTAATGCCTTTATCATTGATCTGATGCAGCCACTCGATTCCTACTAGAAAAATCTTAACAGTTTAAAAATAGCCAACCAACCTGATCAAAATATTTTCGCCATATTGGAACTTCAGCTCCCGCATCAAATTCGTTCAACCCATATATTCTTGCACGTCTTTCGGCTTCAGATTTGTCCAAACCAGTATATACATGAGTTACAAAGTCCCTTTCTACATCGTCGATGGACAAGCTAGACACTTTTGTTGATGGCATAAACGGCAACATTTTCTCCGGAGTCTTACTCTCACTATCTGTTTGAGATTTCAAATTCATTTAAACTGTACAGTTTTCGCTAGCGTCGCAGACGAGAAGAATCTGTTAGCGTGTTTTCATTTCGGATATCCCGAGGACATTTCTGTCAGCAGGTTAATTCAAAACAACTTAAACAAGCCAACATTACAGAAATTTTTAATTTTAATTGTCATAAATTTATTTGAGCATTCATTTGCAAACATCACAATCATGCCAGTCGGTACTTCATGTAAGTATTTTTATTCATAAATTTCACGCTCCTGGAGGTGGCTGTGTCCTTTCAAGAGCTTATTACCATAAACTATTATTTGTCTTCCGATCAGGCAGAATTTATAATATTAATAATTAAATAATAGACATGGATTCATATTGCCTATAAAATTTTCCATACATCGTCTGATTCTGTGAAGAATTTAGCTATCAATTACTGTATAGAAAATACTTTACCATCTAAACTATTTTCCTTCTCCTCCTATGAGCCCCATACCCAGTGCAAACGCCCTCCCCCCCGTCAGTGAAAAATCCATCACAATCATGACCATCAAATCATTCCATAGAAAAATCCACCCGTGTTATAGTTCATACGCGCATTTAAGTCCATATGATTAACAGTGAGTTGTTCACAGATCACTTCAGTAGTTCACAGATTCCATCCAAATTCCGGAAAATAACATACTATTGAAAATTTTGTTTTACGTTAAGAACAATTACAGCCAAATTTTTGCATATCTTGGAAAAGTTTGGTGTTCGTTGATATTTAATGATAAATTTTTTTATTGATATTTTTGCATTGATCTGAAAGATCTTGTTAGGAAGATTGTTTTACTCTTGAACACAATACATAGAAACACATATATATAAGGATTTCCGGTTGTATTTCATAGTTGATACATCTTGACTTACAATTCACTGACTGACAACGTCAATCAAAACATGAACGACTTATTATATAGAATGTAAACGGTCCATATAAAACATCCGTTTCCCAAAAAATTAATGCCATTTCCAACCCCCCAATCTTCCTCCAAGAATGAACAAACATTAAGTTCTTATTAATTGTATTCATACAAATTCTATTAGTTTACATCAAAGTTTCGAATACTTGGCTATCATTTGAAAATTGTTTTGATTTAGTCAAATTTTATATTACATACGTATGATCTTATCCAAATTTTGTAAAATTTTTATGTTATGGAAAATTTGTTCAAATGCATAAATTATAGTTTTTGATAAAATTTGGAATTATTATAAAATTCATTTTCAGGTGGGAGGGTAGTATCCCAATTTTGTAAAATTTTTTGTTATGGAAAATATGTTCAAATGCATAAATTATAGTTTTTGATGAAAATATGGAAATATGAAGAAATTCATTTTCAGGAGGGAGGGGTGGTATCCCAATTTTTAAAATTTTTTTTGGAAAATATGTTGAAATGCATAAATTATAGTTTTTGATGAAAATATGGAAATATGAAGAAATTCATTTTCAGGGGAGGGTCGTATCCCAATTTTTAAATTTTTTTGTTATGGAAAATGTGTTCAAATGCATAAATTATAGTTTTCTGATGAAAATATGGAAATATGAAGAAATTCATTTCAGGGGTGGTATCCCAATTTTGTAAAATTTTTTTTGTTATGGAAAATGTGTTCAAATGCATAAATTATAGTTTTTTGATAAAAATTTGGAATTATTATAAAATTCATTTTCAGGGGGGAGGGGTGGTATCCCAATTTTGTAAAATTTTTTTTGTTATGGAAAATGTGTTCAAATGCATAAATTATAGTTTTTTGATGAAAATATGGAAATATGAAAAATTCGTTTTCAGGGGGGGAGGGGTGGTATCCCAATTTTGTAAAATTATTTTTGTAAAATTTGGAAATATAAATAAATTCATTTTCAGGGGGGGAGGGGTGGTATCCCAATTTTGTAAAATTTTTTTGTGATGGAAAATGTGTTCAAACGCAAAAATTATAGTTTTTTGATGAAAATATGGAAATATGAAGAAATTCGTTTTCAGTGGGGGAGGGGTGGATTCCCAATTTTGTAAAATATTTTATTTTCGTGGAAAATGTGTTCAAATGCATAAATTATAGTTTTTTGATTAAAATTTGGAATTATCATAAAATTCATTTTCAGGGAGGAGCTGTGGATTCCAATTTTTGTAAAATTTTTTTTATTATGGAAAATGTGTTCACATGCAATAATTATAGTTTTTTGATGAAAATTTGGAATTATCATAAAAACCATTTTCAGGGGAGAGGGGTTGGATTGCAATGTGTGTAAAATTTTTTGTTATGCAAAATGTGTTCAAATGCAAAATTATAGTTTTTTGATGAAAATATGGAGAAATTCATTTTCAGGGGGGGTGGTATCAAATTTTGTAAAATTTTTTTGTGAAGGAAAATGTGTTCAAATGCATAAATTATAGTTTTTTGATGAAAATATGGAAATATGAAGAAATTCGTTTTCAGGGGAGGGTGGTATCCCAATTTTGTCAATTTTTTTGTTATGGAAAATGTGTTCAAATGCAAAATTATAGTTTTTGATGAAAATATGGAAATATCATGAAAATCGTTTTCAGGGGAGGATTGGATTCCCAATTTAGTAAAATTTTATTGTTGTGGAAAATGTATTCAAATGCATAAATTATAGTTTTTTGATGAAAATATGGAAATGTGGAGAAATTCGTTTTCAGAGGGGGAGGGGTGGTATCCCAATTTTGTAAAATTTTTTTGTGAAGGAAAATGTGTTCAAACGCGAAAATTATAGTTTTTTGATGGAAATATGGAAATATCATGAAATTCGTTTTCAGGGGTGGTATCCCAATTTTGTAAAATTTTTTTTGCTATGGAAAATGTGTTCAAATGCATAAATTATAGTTTTTTTATGAAAATTTGGAATTATTATAAAATTCATTTTCAGGGGGGAGGGGTGGATTTCAAATTTTGTAAAAAATTTTTTTGTTATCTCAATATCTCAGATGACTTGAATCATGATACCTGCTTTGTTTATGAAGTCATGAAACAAACTGTTCATTATATTAAGGATGAGATTTTCACAACACTGAGTATGGTGCATTATTTCAGCGATGGCTGTGCAGGACAATATAAGAACTATAAGAACTTTATCAACTTGTGCCTTCACGAAAAGGACTTCAATGTGAAATGTGAATGGTCATTCTTCGCTACAAGCCATGGCAAATCTCCGTGCGATGGCCTTGGAGGTACGTTGAAACGATTGACAGCAAGAGCCAGTCTACAAAGAACTCACTCGCATCCCATTTTGACAGCAAAACAAGTTTTCGAGTACTGTAATGAAGAAGTCAAAGGGGTTCATTTTATCTTTATTTCAGCAGAGGAGATGGTTCCTATCAGGAGCATGTTGGAGACAAGGTATAGCACTGCAACTACTCTTCCTGGCACAAGAGGCTTTCATCCCTTTATCCCCCTCTCTGAAAGTGTTATGGCTGCTAAACGTGTTTGAAGATGAATTGTATGCCTTAGAGTTTAATCTAGTGTTGGGAAAGACAAACTTAGTGAAGCTGGCAGATCCAAACATGTCTGACTTTATTGTTTGCTTATATGATGAGAAACTTTGGGTTGGACTTGTTGATGTAGTAGATAAGGAACATGATGATGTTCAAGTCAAGTTTATGCATCCAAGCTACCCAGCAAGATCCTTCTTCTGGCCAAAGAAAGATGAGGTATGTTTTGTACCAATTATGAATGTGTTGTGCATCATTGAGGCACCAGTAACAGTAACAGGAAGACAATACAAGTTGAGTGACAAAGACATATCCACAATTGAGCAAGCACTTGCTGAATAACTCGGATAGCATGTAACATAACTTGAAAAGTACAGTACAGTACTGAACAATATATTAACATTATTGAAGATCAAATAACAACTTCTAAAGGTGATGATTGCAAATGCTGGATATGACAGTTCCATAAAATTAAGAATTTACATAGGATTTCAACCATATATTTGTTGGCATATTTTTCAGCAAGAAGAAGAGACACCAAGCCAAAACTTAGTGAAATTAATCCTCATTATATATTCATATACCACACCAAAAATGAGTTTGGTCCTACATTGCCAACATGGGTAATTTTCGGTTTGTAATTTGATCCTTTTTATGGTTTCGGGATATATATATACCATTGTTTAACATAGAAAATATGCATTTCTTTTCAATTAATGATATTTTTGAACTCATATTCTGATTTAGCATGTCTTAAAATGGTATATCACCAGTTTTCCTGTATATAGAGTTAAAGGATAGGAAACGACAGTTGAAATACCATACATTTTAGTGTACCATTCATAAAGAATGCTATAACCGACACCGATATTGGTGGAAAATTGAAAAACCGATATCTCAGGAACAAATAAAGATATTGAGCTCAAATTTGGTGTGCTTTCATATCTCACTTATACTTCCAATTGGTGCAATTTTGGTTAAAATCTGGGATGGGTGGGTGACATTTTGAATTTCTATTTGTTGATTTCACATGGAATGACCTTTAACGGTGTGCTGTCAACTTTGCACAAAACAACTTTTTTACTGTAAATAATTTTATGACGATAGATTTTAGTAAGACTTGTGAGAGTGTTCAATAAAATTGTTGAAAGATACAGTCCTTTGGTGATGTTTGAAACTAGATACATTGAATGTTCATTATAAGATAAGTGCAGCCTTTCTTAAACTAAATATTCACCTGTGATAAATCACCCAAATCGTTCCATGCATTCCATTTTGCCTTTCCAACAAAGTCCAAAGTCCCAGGCTTTGGTGTATTACATTTGCCTAAAGAACCCTGGAAATGTATATTGTTATTTGGGTTCGTCTTATTTTTAACTTTGATTGTATTGTATGGTGGGACTGTGAACAGTTATAATTGAAAAAAATTCACTGTGCCTTTGCAAAAATGTGATTCAAATGCAATGATGCACATTGTGCATTAAAAATGTAAAGTCACCATTTAATTTAATTGAAGAGCTTGTAGGTAGGAGATACAACAACTAATGTTCAAGCTTTATGTAAAAACCGGATACAATATCTTTATGAATCGTAAAATACCTGCTTAAAAAGGGCATACATCTTTAACTTCAATTCATTCCCTGGATCTTGTGTTAAAGATCCTACTTTGTCTTTTGCTTCTTTAAACTGGTGAGAGATTGCAGAGAACTTCGAACCATCTTCGTAAAAATGTTCAGGTTTAAATAAGGTCAAGATAGATAGTTCACTATACCACGACGAAAAATTGCATGTGATTTACAAACTCCTGGCGTCACGTTCATTTGCTATAATAAAATTTACAATAAATATTTTTTTATTATTGATTGAACTTGGGACGAATAAGAAAATTGATATCTAGAAATGACAGAATGAAAGGCAAAAGTAAATCAAACATGTGACTATTTTTGACCAATGACATTAGGATGTTGATAGTGGTTACAATAGAGTCCTTAAGTGTGACGTCACGTTACCATGGCGCTAAAAAATGCAGTTCTAAACAAAATATCTTATGCGAGCGATTTGGACACGCTTTTTTGTTTTGAATGTCTAAAGCTTTAGTTATCCAGTGTAATCCCACAAAAGACAATAAAAAAAATAGGAAAGGTTAAAGGGTCATCCAAGGGATCAACTTTCGTCGAAGAAGTGTAAAGGACGCGGGTCAAACGGGCAAAATGGTTTACTGTTTTGCTCCTTTATGTGGCCATTCGTCGGAGGGCAACTACGGTGGCCCACAAGTACAAGCACACTTACACATAACAGCATACGCGCACAAATTCGAGGATGCACACTTACACATAACAGCATACGCGCACAAATTCGAGGATGCACACTTACGCATAACAGCATACGCGCACAAATTCGAGTGGCCCACAAGTACAAGCACACTTACACATAACAGCATACGCCCACAAATTCGAGGATGCACACTTACACGTAACAGCATACGCGCACAAATAAATATTCACATTCATGGCTTATTACATGACGCTTCGTAAAATCGGGCTGCAAAAACCGAAAAGATTGCCGGCGAGAAATATTTCATGATTCACATGTTCACAATAGCAATAAGTCAATAACCCAACGATGTTTTGTCCACATTGTGGAAAAGAAAAGGATGAAAATGCAAATTTTGCGAGAACTGTGGTGCAAGTGTATCAGAAATTAAACCTTCGGCCTCAAGTCAACAACCGTTAACTTTCGAAGAGTACATAAAGAAGAACGCAGTCGCCAATCCTTGCACTGATCGTGGCGATCAACTAGGAAATTCCCACCGCGCTGGTAGTTCGTCTACCTTTCAAATTATTAGAAAAAGGAAGTCAAATGAACGATTTAGTCAAATAAAAAAAAAAGGAGAAGAAAGATGAAGTAGTGAAGGTATGTGTATTCAATGTTATGATTATGCCAATTATACAAATTTGGTTAATGAAACTCAATTTTGTGTTGTAGATAAAGATTGGAATAATTGAACTCGACGGTAAAAGACTTAAAATAAGAAGATCTTCTTTACTTCCTGTTGATGTTCGAAAATCAGATACATTAGTTCCTGTAAAGAATGCCGGAGTTCAGAAACAGCTTGCCCACAACAGACATCTCAGAGATCATAATGAAACTGAGTGGCTTTTACTTTACCCTGATATGGATATCGTGAGAAATATTCCTGGAAGCAGTGAAAAATTCTCTGTGGAAAAATATAAAAATGAACTTGGACGTCCATACAGTCGAGTAAATTTGTACATTTGCAAAATGCTTGATTTTGAAGGTAAACACTGAGTTCAAAATAAGTCCGGGTATTTTTTTTGCATTTAGACTGCTGGAGTGAGCATTAGGGGCATTGCACAAGACAAACACTGGCTGTATTGAAAACTGATATGTCATGCAATAAATAATCAAAAAGCAGTCACATTTTATTGAAGCAACATTTCTGAGCTTCCCAGAGTTGAATGGGCCTATTGACTGTATTTTACTGGTGAATAAAGGTTCACTACTGGGGCAAGCACAGAGCAAAATGCGAAAAATGCCCTAGTACATAAAAGTTAAAAAATGCCTTAGAATAATTATCTTGCAACTAACATTAAACCTTCAAAAGAATTTGTTTGTAGGGTTAGTAATTATGTTATATTCTAAATTTAGTAGCCAATGATTTGACTGAAGACCTCAAGGAAACGGTTGTTCCAGATACTGCTGATGTTTTTGAAGATAATTCTGTGCAAGAAAATTCTTCACAAATTATATGTGAACTGGGAAATTCTCAACAAGTCAATGCAACACCAGATAATTTTGTGGAAGTTAATCATGCTCATACCAATGCTGTTCCAGCTAGTCTTGTAAAAGCTAGTCTAGTGGAGGCCAGCCATGTTCAAACAAATCCTGTTCCAAGCAATGTTGTTAATGTTGATAATAGTTGTGTGGAAGCTGTTTCCTTTCAGGTTGATTCATTTTCAGTTGAGCAAATCATTATGGAACCAGGTGAAATGCCTGCGCAAATTTTTCAGGATGCAGGTATAACTAATGATTTGTTACATATGTATCCTATACATTTTGTATATTTCATTGTTTTGTATTTTAAATTTATTTTTAGATGTAACTGAATCCCTACTAGATATTATTGAACCAGAGCCAAATCTTGTACAACCAGCTCAAGTTAATTTACCGAGGAACAATTGCATGTGCTAGATCTGCTAATCCATCGCACAACCCTTTTGAAAGATATGATAACAGAATTTTATAATCCAAATGTATTGAAATCTACTATATTTTTAAAGTAGTTGATGCAAGAGGTATGTTTGAGGAGGAGAAGGAAGAGGTGTTGCACGTGATCTTCTTACAGAGTTTTGGCACCTTTTTATCAGTCATTATCTATTGGAGCATCTACCAAGGTGCCAGCCATTAGTCATGATTATCAAAAGCTGGAATGGGAGGCAGTGGCTAGAATCATGTTGTATGGCTACTGCAAAGAAGGAGTGTTCCCATTACATTGTGTTCAGCTTTTGTTGCATGTACTCTCCATGGTGAAGACAGTGTTTCTTGTGAAGTGCTGTTAAACTCTTTCATGGAGTATATGGCTGAAGACGAGAGAGAAGTGGTTGATAAATGAAAAATCGATCACAGATATGTAAAATGAAGACTTACTTGAAGTTTTAGGAAGCTACAAGTGCTATCTCAATCCCACAGAAGAAAATATTGAAGAAGATATGCCAATTAGCTCACCAAGAACTTATCCAAAGAAGCGGTACGTTTCCAATTGTTGGGCAACAATATATCAAATTAAATGAGATATGATTCGCATTAGCTGGACAATTTTTTGCAATCGTCTTCGGGACCTGAAAAATCAGGTGACTCAACGGGATGAGTCACCGTTGAGTCTGATTTTCAGGTCCAGAGATGATAAAGTCCATCAAAGTCATATCTATTTAATTCAAAACACCGCACTGCATAAAACATTCATATAATATTGCAATCATTGAAAAGTCATCCTGCGTTTCAAGATGTTGCAAGCATTCTTTGCTTTTACCAAGAAAGAAAACCCACGTCCAAAAGGTTTGAAAATTCTAGATGCCTCCCCGAAAATGAGGCACAACGAAATGCATTTGATCATTTGGTGCGCTATATAAAGTCTCTAGGTGGCAACGTAACCGCGTTCCTTCAATTTACCACAGGTTCTGATATCATTTTAGAAGGTCAAAGTTAAAGTGTCATTTACAGAACTTAATGGTTTACAACGTCGTCCTGTAGCACACACATGTGGACCATTTCTAGAGATTCCCAGCACTTATCAATTTTATAATGAACTTGTAGAGGAGTATTTCGTCGATCCTAAGAGAAAAAAGTGCCTGGTCGTTTGACATTGTATGAAAGTTCTATCACATGTTTTAGCACACTATTATGACATATTATATTGTGTTTTACATTGTAGAAACACTTTTTTTAGTTCACTTTTGTTAAAAAAGATTTTATGGACAATGATGTGGTGTCATATGAAGATGGAGGTTATGGACCTTCCCTGAATATGAAATTATCTTATTTCTTTATAAGATTACCATATACGTTATCGTTTTGAGTTATTAATGTTAAATATGTTTTGTTCATTGCTATTTGCTTTAAGCTGCTTCTAGAAGTCTTTCATATGCCATTAAAGCTTCTCTCCATGTCTGGATCTGTCCTATTCGTAACACACCAGCACTATACGAGAAGTATTTTTGATATGTAGAGACCTTTTCTGTCGACACATTAACTGAATTGTAAATCTCTATAAGATCTTCGTCGTCATATTGTTTCTGAAAATCTTCAGCTCCAACTGCTTCAGGTAGAAGGTAAAGCTGATCAGGGATCCCCGCATGAGTGTAAAACCTGGATTTGCGTACATAGTGACTGTTCCACGATTCCTTGATTTGGTCAAGTCCTTTTTTTAAGACAGGACTAAAGCAAAACCATAGACATTCAAGTTGAAGTACGTTGCTTGTGTCTAAAACCCTTTAGCTATCAAATCCTTAAAATTCATCCACCACGAGGCCCACGAGCGACGTAACATGGCCCACCATGCTTCTATTCGCTGATTGCTGTGTGATGATCCATATTGATGAGCATTGACGTCAGAATGTGTGTCCGTACCATCTCGGCGTAAGAAACACTGGGCTGATGCCATAATCCCATTTTCTGTTCCCTATCTGTTCTAAGAATTTTAGGACAGAGTTGCATATTAGATATGCAGTCGTAAATAGCCTGCCCACTACGCGGGGATCATTATTTGAAGGAACTATATTTAACCACAGTATTTTCCTGCTAAATCCATCTATACACCCATGGATGGGAAACCATACGGTTTAAGTTTGTCGTAACCATCGGCATGCCAGCAATAATTTGGCCCCGGATTCATGTAAGCTCTTCTACGAAGACGGTTAGCCCGTCTCCATTTCGATCCCTCTGGATCCACTTCTTGAAGGGTGGTTTGAGCAACCAAACGAGGAACTTGTGCCATATTTGACTGCAATCGTCTCCACATGGCTCTATAGCCCAATTTACCACTTCCATCTAGTTCTCGAACAATGCATCTTCTTACGTGGTCTTTATCAACGGTATTTCCACGTCGTTGCAATCCATAAAGCTTAAGCTTATTCAGCAAAGTACTTCTAGAGATGCGAATTCCATGATATTTTTGTAATAGCTGTAGAATTGTATCATACGTGTAGTTTTTAGTAAAATAGTTGCGAATGATATCTTCCATAAGTCTTTAAAGTAGTGTTTAGCAGCGGAAAGAAATGTCAAGTAATAGACTGCCGGCTTTTCCTTTTTAATTTTGAACTTACGTTTGTTAGTATTCGAATTTTGTGGGCGTATGCTGTTATGTAAGGTGCTTGTACTTGGGCCACTCGAATTTGTGCGCGTATGCTGTTATGCGTAAGTGTGCATCCTCGAATTTGTGCGCGTATGCTGTTATGCGTAAGTGTGCATCCTCGAATTTGTGCGCGTATGCTGTTATGCGTAAGTGTGCATCCTCGATTTGTGCGCGTATGCTGTTATGGTAAGTGTGCATCCTCGAATTTGTTCGCGTATGCTGTTATGTAAGGTGCTTGTAATTTGTGGGCCACCGTAGGCAACACTTGCAAGTTCTTCGCTTTTCCACGACGAGTATAAGAGATGGATTCGACTCATAAGGTATGTGAACTGATATTTAAAAAGAATTCCTTAATCAGTGAACATTTGATGAATTACGAGATTTTAAGTGAGATTTACGGACTCTATTCACGTGAAGAGTTGACATCAGGACATGAGGGAGAATCATCGAATACTGAATTATAGAAGCTTCAGCTAGTTGTCTTTTTAACGGTCGCTTTGTATTTTCCGTAGCCAAACCTTAAATCTTAGTGTTTTGGAAGGTATAATGCATCAATTTTGAGGATCAAATTTTTTCACTTTAATGAAAGTACGACAGAACTACACACAGCTTCACCTAACCCAATTGTTTCATTGTAGTGTGGCCAATTTCTTACATAGTTATAACATTCACTCATGTTTTGCATGAAATTTTGTTTGACCTAATGACGTCGATTCCATCCTGGGAAAAACAAGATCTCTGCACCCTCCTCTTTCAGGCAATTTGAATCCTTTCGGATTGTTATAGACTGCACAGATATTGAGGTTGCTGCACTGGGATTGATGAGTCAGCAAAATGCAAACCTATTTATCATACAGAGGAATGAATTCCTTTAAGGAAATAGTTGGTGTTGCACCAAATGGAGTCATTTCTAATGTCAGTCGGCTGTATCCAGGTTCTATTTCAGACAAGGCCATTGTGCAACAGTCTGGACTCCTTAATCACTTGACAGCTGGAGATATGATTCTGGCGGACAAGGGTTTCCTTATCCAGGATGTTGTACCACATGGTGTCTGTGTCAATATTCCACCTTTTCTGAATAATGGAACTTCACAGAGAGTGAGGTCAAGAAAACAAAAGCCATAAGAAAACGGATTCATGTCGAAGAGCCAATGCTAGGCTGAAAGACTTCAAAATTTTAGCGCCATTCCTTTGTATTTATGTGGTGCTATGCTGACATTTTGTTTCAGTTATGTGCAGCACTTGTAAATTTGCAATTTCTCTCATCAAAGAGGGATGGGGACGATATGGTTTTGAGTAGTTTTATGCTTGAAGACTACATTGGACAGTTTTTTAATAATTAGTGTTGTTCAAATAGAAATAAAATAATTTGTAGACTGAGGCTTACTTAGAAGAAAATACAGCTAGAGGGGTGAGCATTCTAATATAACAGTAAATGGATGATTTTACCTCCTAGGAATTACAATATTTATCATCTGGTGCAGCCTTGGTGTACATAGGGTGTCAAATTAGATCACTGCGAGAATTCTTTTATCATGTTTAGGAGAACAGAAGTTAAAAGAAGTTTTGACGCATGTTTTACAATAGGATGTCTTTTTGGGGATAAAAATAAAAGCAAGTACTGCCCACAGTTACCCTTAAGAAGTCTTACGGAACATTTCCCATGAGCATCCCATCACTTTTATATGGGAATTTCCCTTCCCCCCAGGAAAACAACATTAAATGATGTACCATATTTCCATGTCTTTAAATACCATGTTATTCTTGTGTTTATTAATAAAAGGCAAATATATGTATAGCCTGTTACCACAACTCCCTCACACCAAACTCGTAGTGGTAGGTCAATTTGAGGACTGAAAACCGACGAGTATCATTATTTTTAAAACAAATCGTTCATTAAGCCTTTTTATTTCACTAAAAGAGAAAATCACCTCGTGTTCATTTGGGCAACAAAAACAGTGTAAAACTTAATCTTGACATTTGGCATTCACCGTCACTTTATAAACCTTTTGTTTCATTCTTGCGTACTTCTCCTCATAAAACATCTCTGCTGGTAAGTAAATGCTTCAATGTGATCTGACTTAAGTGGTTTTCCCTTTTATAGATTTCTTTTCTGAGAAGAAAGAAAAAGCGATGGATGGCCATTCCATTTTGAATCGAATGGGCGCTTGTTTGAAACTGAGATTTTAGCACCATGGAAACGTGACGTCACCACTTAAGGACTCTATGGATGATAGTGAATAATTATGGACATGCTTTCAAAAGGCGTATTCTGAACAAGGGGTATGTTAACTATGTTGTGTATATTATCCGACTGGTGCAGCTTAAGAAGAAATTTCAGGGCTTCCATTTACTAAATTTATCAAAGTTCATGTATGAGGACAATATTTCTTCGCGTATTCATATTTTTTAGGAGTTTGCAACATCAAAAGTTCGAAGCAAGGCAATCGATCAACAGGGCTCAGTCACTCAGTACTATGCTTAGTACTTTTTTAAATATCTATCGGGAAGTCTGGCTGGGAGAATGGTACTTAGACTAATTGTAGGCTAACTTTGTCAATCCAAGAACACGTGCAGTACTGGTTTTTATAAATCGGGTATTATTTTTGGGTACACTTGCAAAATGTATCAATTCAGGAAGAAATTCAGACGCTCAAATGACTTCTTTTACAATAACGTGGAGAGGAAAGAAACACACAAAAGATGATGCGGTAGGAATTTTAAAGTGTTCTTTTTATTGTTTCTGGTTGCACAATTTCATATTAATTTATTTTTATTACCACAGTTATATTAACAAAAGTATGTGTACAAATTTATTTATGCCCACAATGTGGTGTAAGGAAAAACACTTATTCGGAGCACATTTTCCAATTTCAAGTCTGGATTCTCTACATCCTTTAATCACAATGTCATATATGTTAATAGAATAGCAGTGTGTCATATGAATCTCAATTTTTTGAACAAGAAAATGAATTTGGGATTTGGTAAGTTTACATATATTGTAAAACTATGTAGATATAAAAATACGCTATGTTTATGGGTTTTTTTATTTATATGTAGAATGAACAAAGTGAAGATATTGCTGAAAATTATGACAAGCACCAAGAGTTAACCACCAAAACACAGGTTTTAATGTACATATTGATATTGTTTCTCATGAAAAGTCATTGGAAGTGGTTATATGTAGGACTGCTTTCACTAGAAATAACTAAAAAATTTTGAAGTAATTTAAAGAAGGCATGCATTATTTAAACACTTATTAAAAGTCTGTACACATTTTAAATTAAATAATGGTCTTTATTTGTAGGACTCTGAAGATATCTTTACCAAGCAATCTATCTCTATTATTACAGAGGAACCCAAACAACCATGTCAACATAGTCAAGTAGTTCTCACATATACAGTTATACTTTATACTGTTTACCACTAGTCATGTTTTTAATGTGTTATAAATTGACAATATGCTTGTTGATTGCTTATGCATGAAACACTGTCTAGCAAAACTTTATTAACATCTGGTAGAAATGTGCTCAACAAACATAAAAATATATTACAATAGATATTTTTGAAACAGTGAACATTAATAATTACTGTGTACTTGCTCTTTCAGAGTCATTTGTCACCCACTGGCCACTATACTGGGCTATTGTTACAGTTTGACTTTGCATCAAATGTATCACATCAGCAATCCTTTGTTGTTCATGATTATAATGCAAACAAAAGAACAATTATGGTGATGTCAAATTTTATTTCCATAATTTCAATGTTGGGTATATACCCAACTAAATGATATTACTCAATATGCTTTTTTTGGTGCTATAATCTGCATGTTTTTTCTTCAGCATAATTCATTTGTATTTGTACATCGATATCCCCACCTATTGCTTGATGGCTATGGTTGGATATTGTGCTGCTCATGTGATGCAAATAGAAAGCAATTTGTTGATGCCCTACCTAATAATATACAATTAGATCCTCAAAAAGGTATGTAAAATAGATGTTACTGAAATGAAATGATTAAAACAGGCCAAACAACATTTTGTACTTGTCAGATATACCATATCCTAGTTGCATACACATATTAGCAATGGAAAAAATATCTGGTTGTGTATGATAGAAAGTTTGGTATTGAAGCCAAAGATTTTATTGAAAAAAGTAAGTGTTGTGTGTTACTCTTTCAGGATATAAGGTGTCTGAACAGCTTCACCAAATTTTGACTTACACTTACATACTATTTGTTTCAAGACCCTTGTCAAAGATGTGAGAACTTGTTACATATTAATCTGACATTGCATGTAGTGAATGTCTCAAATTTGTATTTGGCTTATTTTTCAATGTAAAGTTCTTCATGTGGTATGGGAGAAAATGTCTTCATCCTTAAATATCAGTTTATTGTACATTTCAAACCCTTGTGAAGTCATCCTTCTGTGTTTTACAAGACCCTTGTTCGACATTGTTCTTATTACATGTGGATGTTAACCAGCACAGCTTTACAAGCAAAAATATTGTTAAAACTTGTGAATGATTATTTACACAATATATTTATCTCATTGAATTTCTTTTATGAATGCAGAATCCACATCCATGATGCAGTCTGTTTTCAGTGATCATTCCTACCATGAGATGCAACCTGAAGAAGTATATTTTGTTATGTGAAAATAACTTTTTTGTACAAATACACGTATTGTTTCTCAACCTTCTAATACCCCACAATTTGTTACCATACATCCTGTGCCTAATTTCAGGAGCTTCTATAAAGCTATTAGGGTGATAACCAACAGGGCAAATTGAATTTATTTATGACTATTGAGGTATACACATTCATACTCACATACATACATAGCCACATACTTACAGTACATACATTAAGTAGTATAAACTAAATGTATGACAAAAATAGTAAAGTCATATTCACCATTTGCTTTACGTGCCTGATATATATATATATTAAGCACTTTCTAAGGATTTTGTGAAGTCATAATTAATCATAATTATTAATCTGCATACACATACACACACATACATACACACATACATACACATACAACCTTAAAGATAAATGATTTTACATATTTTAGGACTTGTTTAGTGCAGTTTGCAGGGAGGTTCAGTGGATTGCTGTAAAACCAGTGAATAGTCCATGGGGGTTTGTACTTTAGTGTATTCAAAAGTAATGCCCCCAGCCCGAGTTAAAATGTTGCAGCTATTCGTCATATCATTGCATTCATGTGACAACCCTTGCAAAAGCCATGCAAATCGTTGACGAGGATGAAATGGATTCTCCATTGGCACTTTTTAAGTTTTCCTTTGGAATTACACCAGATGCGAGACTATTTTGAATTGGCTACACTTAGCAAAGAAAAGGTTTCTTTATTTGAAACAGGTATGCAAGATAATCTGCAATGGTGAACATCCTTTAGCTTTACATATACTATTTCCTTTATCGGTATGGTATTTAGCACTTTCTAGCATTTTGTAAATATTACTATTTAATTATTTTAGGCAATGAGAATGATGCAAGCGATTTTACTGATCTTCCTGAAAAAAATGGTCATAAAATTTTGGCGCCATCTGAAAGTGGTATTTGTTCTTGTGGTGCAGAGTGGGATAAACGTTCTATTCAAGATGAATGGTTGTACGTAGACTTGTGTTCAGTTGCGTACTTTTGTTCAATCCATGATGTGAAGGGTAAGTTCTGATTTGTTATAGGTTACGCTTCACTTCATAATTATTTGACTTAAATAAATTATTTAGTGTATTGTAGACCTTGCTCCTCTTGTGCTACGAAAAGCATTATGATGGCATTGAAAACAGGATTGTATGGTTTGGATCATATGCAATATCTCATGCCGATCTCTAAAGATTACATTCGGCTTTTCATAACGTCGAGGTACTTTTTAATGAAAATTTGCCGAAGCATTAGTAGCTACGTTTGTCCATTATTTAATTTTCTCGCACTATATCTTTTGAATGTTTTTTCTTTTTTATTCTTGTTCAGTTTACCTATGTACAAATATTATGTTGCATATGTACAAAGGCAAGTGTCTTCGGGTAATTTGAATTTCCCAAAGGAAATAACATACGCCAAGTTTCGTCTCGCTATCATTGCCATGATACGGTAAGCATCATTTCATTTTCAGCTGCAAAATATGAATATTCCATTGAGATAGTGATCGCTTGTTTTATTAAGTTATTGAATTTTCTCTTATTGAGGTTGCTTGATATTGATTTTCACAATGGGTTTTTTTGTGAATTATGTGGAAGAATTCCCCAGAAGGTGGTGATGGATGGAACAACTCTTGGAATACAGAAAACTTTCTTACCAAATAATTTAAGAGAGTCTGATACTGGATTGCTAGATGGAAGATAAGTATTTTTGAAGTTTATCTGTAATATATAATATATACAGGTCTGCTAATTAGTAAATACGAGTGTTCATCTACGTATCAGAAAGCATTTTGTGCATGATGGTGACTTCTCTCACTTTGTTTTTGTACACACCTTATAGTTATAAAAATAACAACCTGTTTTCTTAACAGGTTTGTTCTCATAACAAAATACAAAGCATTTTATGCATGATGGTGACTTCTCTCACTTTGTTTTTGTACACAGCTTATAGTTATAAAAATAACAACCTGTTTTCTTAACAGGTTTGTTCTCATAACAAAGTACATAATCCCTTTTTTCCGTGAAGCCCATGGATGCGTTCGTTCATGATGAAAGAGTCATATTGTAAGGAGGCTCTCGTTCATCACGAGAGTTATGAGAAAGTTACGTTGTAAAAGGTAATAAAAAAAACGTATAAACATGCTTAGAGTTTTTTAAGTTATAGTTCAAAAGGCAGAAGTTGTTTGAACCTTTGAAGTATCCTTGGACGTTCTAGTTTTTTATGAGAAGAATTTTGTAAAGAAAAGATAAATTTTGAAAACCAAAGAATCCGTTTTCGGTCCATGCCTCCCGATACCCCGAGATAGTTGAGCACTAGAGCGTCGCATGTTAACTAAGGGAACCACATAATCCTTGTTTGTTTTCCATGAAACATATGTATGGTTTGCTCGTAATACATGAGAAACAGTAAATGGGAGAGTTAAATCAGAAAGATATAAACCGATAAAATTGGTATAAAACATGTTTAAGGTTGTCTTTATTTATAAGTGTCAGAAGAAGACAGGGTCATAAGAAGTTAATTGAAACATTGCTTGGTTTGTTTTATGAGAAGAAAACAAAAAGATAAAATTCGAAAGCAAAAAACCCCGTTTTCGGTCCATGCTTCCCGATACCTTCTTAAGCGCAAGGCACTAGAACGCCGCATGTTAACGTTTCGGTAGGAGATTTCGGCCCCTCCACGCTATCCTACTTGGGAGATGCCAATAGCAAGCTTCCGCCCATCAGACCCTGAGATCACCTGCGATAGGCTTTGCTCAGGGTACGCAGGAGAGTGCGGTCGCCACCGAAGTGTGGGCCCCTAAGCCACTGCATACTATATCGCACCCAGCTTCCACTGCTAGTTGATATCTACTATATGAAGTTTTAGCTTTATATATATATACCAAAATTTAAAGGCGTACGAAAGTTGTGGGATGATTGTTATCGTTACTGCGCATGCCCAGATGATTTCTTTGATAATTTGCGACTAAGTGAGTTAATTGACACAAATGTAGTGCAAGTACATATAGTTGGTCGTTGTCATGACTATGAACACTCGAGTGGACTGCGCATGCTCGAGCGCATGCGCAGACGATTTCTCTATTAAATTGTTACTAAGCATGCTATTTACTTCAAAATTGGTGCTAGTAGATGCAGTTGGTCGTTGCCATGACCATGAACTTGGGTAGCTGGTCAAGTTGACTGCGCATGCTCAATGAGACTGCGCATGCGCAGATGATTTGTCTTAAAACGTGTGACTGAGCGAGCTAATTACTCCAAAATCGGTACTAGTACATCCAGTTGGTCGTTACCATGAGCTTGGAAGTTTGTGGAGTTGACAACGCATGCTCAGATTCTCAATTAATTTGTGACAGAGCGAGCTCTGAAATTGGTGCTTGTAGATGCGCTGAGCAAGTTTTCCATCATATATTTTGGCATGCTCTTTGTCTACTTAAGCTTGTTTTGACAAATGCATGTGAAACTCGTCAACACTTTGTTACGGCACTCGTAATATCCGTGACAACGTTAAAATGTTTTTATTTTTCTCTACAACTTTATACTTGCATATTGCATGTCATATCCAAGCTTTCCTTTGATTTGACGGGAAATGGTTTTTATTCACTCTTACATCTTCTGCCTTTATAATTAGTCGATCTGTATTTCTAAACTAATATTTACAAATGCCCCAAGAGAATCTTTTATTTTATTGGCTCTCTTCAAATACAATACCATGTCCGACTATTTGATTGCACGAATTTTGTAATTTGATCACGTTTTTGACACTTGTGTTTACGATGGGAAAGATGGATTGCTTAAATGTACCTAGTTGTTTAGACTACTTGGATCCATAGTTATCCTGTAATGTATACTCTTGTGAAACACCAATGAGCATACGTAGTGTGTCTTCTATAACCTCTATTCTTGTTCTCCACTTCATCATCTCCATATTTGTTCTTTTTAGTTCTCAGCTCAACACAACCCTTGTCTGAAGTTCCTAAACCTTGATCTACCAAAGAAAGATCTCTGGTGGTAACATGTTAGGTATGGCTAGTGGTTGGTCATCGTCATTGAGCCTTGTGACACCAGTTCAGTATACGTTAATTGTCCTGAAGACGTTGAGGAGGTTGCTAGTAAAACGTCGCCTAAACCAGAAGTTAGTTTTCATGGTATGCTAACGGATTACGCAAACGTTGTTAGGAATAAGTTCACATCAAATGGTTATGGTCTCGTTCCATCGTCTTCTGAGAAGGTTTCATGTTCATCCTGTATCTTTCACCAATGTTACAAATACTTAGTTTTTTTATGCTTTTTGAAATTGTCGTTTTTATGATTATTATTTTAGAGTATAGACATTGAAGAATCTTCTGGTAGTGTACAGGTATTTTCAACATTTTTTTGTTGAAAAATTCTCTAGTTTCAATTCTTCGAAATTTCTCATCTTAATTTTCATCTTTACTTTAGAATCCTTTCGATACGAGAAATCGTCGGGATTTGAGGTACTTTATACGATATATTGAATTTAAGTTTTATAGCGTTAATAACTCTCATCTGTCCATCGTAACTTTGCTATGATTCTATGGATAAATTATGTTTTTGTATATAACAGATTATTGATGATCCTACTTCACCTGAAGGTGTTCAGCAAGAACGACGTATGAAGTTACTGTCGTTAATTAACAATATAGCCCTTGATAAAGGGTTGGATGGTCAAAATTATAAATGTCATGGTTGTTCCAGACCAATTGGAATGAGTATGATCAATGAATTCTCGACTTGTTATTTGCTAATAACTCAAATATATTTTATTTTCAAATTTCTTAGTTAATAAATGTTATCTTTGTAGAAACTATTATAACAAAGTACATAATCCCTTTTTTCCGTGAAGCCCATGGATGCGTTCGTTCATGATGAAAGAGTCATATTGTATTAGGAGGCTCTCGTTCATCACGAGAGAGTTATGAGAAAGTTACGTTGTAAAAGGTAATAAATAAAAAACGTATAAACATGCTTAGAGTTTTTTTAAGTTATAGTTCAAAAAGGCAGAAGTTGTTTGAACCTTTGAAGTATCCTTGGACGTTCTAGTTTTTTTATGAGAAGAATTCTTGTAAAGAAAAAGATAAATTTTGAAAACCAAAGAATCCCGTTTCCGGTCCATGCCTCCCGATACCCCGAGATAGTTGAGCACTAGAGCGTCGCATGTTAACTAAGGGAACCACATAATCCTTGTTTGTTTTCCATGAAACATATGTATGGTTTGCTCGTAATACATGAGAAACAGTATATGGGAGAGTTAAATCAGAAAGATATAAACCGATAAAATTGGTATAAAACATGTTTAAGTTTGTCTTTATTTATAAGTGTCAGAAGAAGACAGGGTCATAAGAAGTTAATTGAAACATTGCTTGGTTTGTTTTATGAGAAGAAAAGATAAAATTGAAAGCAAAACCCCGTTTTCGGTCCATGCTTCCCGATACCTTCTTAAGCGCAAGGCACTAGAACGCCGCATGTTAACGTTTCGGTAGGAGATTTCGGCCCCTCCACGCTATCCTACTTGGGAGATGCCAATAGCAAGCTTCCGCCCATCAGACCCTGAGATCACCTGCGATAGGCTTTGCTCAGGGTACGCAGGGAGAGTGCGTTCGCCACCGAAGTGTGGGCCCCTAAGCCACTGCATACTATATCGCACCCAGCTACCACTGGTAGTTGATATCTACTATATGAAGTTTTTCCCATCGTAAACACAAGTGTCAAAAAAACGTGATCAAATTACAAAATTCGTGCAATCAAATAGTCGGACATGGTATTGTATTTGTAGAAGAGAGCCAATAAAATAAAAAGATTCTCTTCGGGCATTTGTAAATATTAGTTTAGAAATACAGATCGACTAATTATAAAGGCAGAAGATGTAAGAGTGAATAAAACCATTTCCGTCAAATCAAAGGAAAGCTTGATATGACATGCAATATGCAAGTATAAAGTTGTAGAGAAAAATAAAAAATTTTTAACGTTGTCACGGATATTACGAGTGCCGTAAAAAGTGTTGACGAGTTTCACACGCATTTGTCAAAACAAGCTTAAGTAGACAAAGAGCATGCCAAAATATATGATGGAAAACTTCTCAGCGCATCTACAAGCACCAATTTCAGAGCTCGCTCTGTCACAAATTAATTGAGAATCTGAGCATGCGTTGTCAACTCCACAAACTCCAAGCTCATGGTAACGACCAACTGGATGTACTAGTACCGATTTTGGAGTAATTAGCTCGCTCAGTCACACGTTTTAAGACAAATCATCTGCGCATGCGCAGTCTCATTGAGCATGCGCAGTCAACTTGACCAGCTACCCAAGTTCATGGTCATGGCAACGACCAACTGCATCTACTAGCACCAATTTTGAAGTAAATAGCATGCTTAGTAACAATTTAATAGAGAAATCGTCTGCGCATGCGCTCGAGCATGCGCAGTCCACTCGAGTAATTGTTCATAGTCATGACAACGACCAACTATATGTACTACATTTGTGTCATTTAACTCACTTAGTCGCAAATTATCAAAGAAATCATCTGGGCATGCGCAGTAACGATAACAATCATCCCACAACTTTCGTACGCCTTTAAATTTTGGTATATATATATAAAGCTAAAACTTCATATAGTAGATGTCAACTAGCAGTGGAAGCTGGGTGCGATATAGTATGCAGTGGCTTAGGGCCCTCACTTCGGTGGCGACCGCACTCTCCCTGCGTACCCTGAGTAAAGCCTATCGCAGGTGATCTCAGGGTCTGATGGGCGGAAGCTTGCTATTGGCATTCCCAAGTAGGATAGCGTGGAGGGGCCGAAATCTCCTACCGAAACGTTAACATGCGGCGTTCTAGTGCCTTGCGCTTAAGAAGGTATCGGGAAGCATGGACCGAAAACGGGGTTTTTTGCTTTCGAATTTTATCTTTTGTTTCTCATAAAACAAACCAAGCAATGTTTCAATTAACTTCTTATGACCCTGTCTTTTCTGACACTTATAAT